GTTTCTCACAACGTTGCATGGTCGAGGTTTCGTAGCGAGCACGGTCTAGCCAGTCTCTCGCAGCCGATGATGAGGCAGTTCATCAGATCCCTGAAAAGTGCCCATCCGTAGGCGATCAAGAGGGGCAAATGGCGAGACATGCCGTTCTGTTGCCGCTCCAATCCGCACTCGAATCCTTCGCCTGGTCCCAGTAAAGAGTTGGGTCGATTCACCGTACGCAGTAAAATGCAGCATGTGTGTAAAGACACTTAAGGAGTGTTCTGAAGTATGTTTCTGCCCCTATCTGCGACTTCCTAAGCCTTTGCTTGCATGAGGTCAACGGCTATCGTCTCGAGCGCTGGAAGGGAATGCATCGAGTTGCAGCTTGGCAGCTTGCTTGTCTACAACAGGAAGAAAAGTAGCCTATCGGCAACAGGCCGTGACGATTTTGCCAAAACGTCAAAATCCAATCCACCATGCCAAGTGATGCATACTGACGGGATCTTTGCGTTGGGGAATGCGAGGGGTCAATGACCGAGGAGGCCAATAGATCTCATCAGTCGAGCACGTGGGATATACGAGAGCAGGCATTTGTCGATCCACTCCAACATTTTAGGTGGAGAGTTCAGAGGCGGCTCGCGGCGGGCCATGAGCCGCGGAACGGGACCCTGGACGGAAGAGAAAGGTGGTCAAGGCGGCATTGCGTCTGGCTGCTTTCTACTCCATCGCAGTGCATTTCCGGTGGAGAGAGAGAGAGGGACTGTTGCTGACAGATATTTGAAATTAGTTGAGATGTGATTCCTGGAGTCTTCGTTGGTGGTCAATGTGGTTCAGAACCGTCTAGTCAATTTCAAGAGAAAATTGGTGGAATCTTACTCAGCATTCAGACTGAGGTAGATCAGCGACTTACAGGCTTGGGCCTTGTAGTTGCTGGCGCATATTGATTGGACCAAAGTGAGGCCCGCGTCATGAGACTCTATAATCTATTCTCTCGTAGTTTGCCCGGCTTTTGCAGTGTGGCGGACGGCCCGAAGAAGAGGCGGCACACCAACGGAAAGAAAGGTGTGGTACGAAGTCGTCAAAGGATGCTGAAACTGGCTGCAGGCGATGAAATTTTGCGATGTGGCGCGCGTGAGACATCCAGAATAACTCGGCGCGTGGTGTTGTGGCACAGACCGAGAGATTTGGGCTGCCTCTGAAGGTAGGACCTACAGGAGGCCCCACCATTTCAAGGCTCACATACGAGTCCCAGTGTCTTTCCGAACATTGTGGCTCCAGCCGGTATCATAATTTGGGAACGTGCCATTGGCGTAAACAAGAATACATCGAACGGCATGGAGAAGTCTACAGACCTAACGGCAATGGATGAGGATATGTTGAAAACGTAGCCACTCGTCGTACGTGAACTAGAACCAATCTCGATCTGCGCTCGTTGGTATGGCTTAGCACGGCGTGTTGCGTGGTCAGTGGTTATCGACATGGAGGCCTAGCCGAGACCGAGCCAGTAGAAGAGGAGCAACAGTGCAGAGCGGTGACACGAAGTCTATCTTGTCGCGATAGTGAGACGGCCAGCTGTCAAATGAAGCAAGTGAGCATGTGCTCATCATCTAAGTTAGGTTCGTCCGCTTACGGATGAGGGGGGAATTGGAGGGGAACCCCGACTGGCATGTTATCTGTGCCGAGCAACGATGCTTCCCTGCGGCGTGGATGATAGCAGCGGACAAGGCCAATCATTGAGCAGAGTGCTTTTTAAAGCACAAACTCAGTCATGTCGCAATGCTGGGTTGCCGTCTGCGCTGCATGCAAGCGAATGTGCAAAGTCGCAGTTGCAATGGCGAAAGCACCGAGGAGCCCGGACGCGTGCTGAGCGGGCGGAACTCAATCATTTGGTTGATGGACGAGATGAGACAGACGGGCAGTTGCAAGTTGCAAACAACCTTCCCCTTCTCCGAAGCGGTCGGTCCCAGTCAAGACTCTGACTTTTAGTAAATGTCTTTTGTCAAACAAGGCCGGGTTCCAAAGGCTCAAGAGAATAACGGGCTCCGACAGCGTTCCGAGTACGGGCGGGACGTGGCGCCGCCGGCTCTGGTGCTGCTTTTTGCCGGGTACAATTAGGCAGGGTTGATTGGGCCGAAGAAGGCAGACAACGCAGACTATCACGATCCGAGAGTAGTCACGGTGTAGTCGAGGCAATCCCTGGTTGCGCTAGAGCAAAATCAGATGCAAAGAGGCAGAGATTTCTTTTTGGGTTTCCACCGGCTGTCCACTTTCAAGGTTTTGGTCGACATGGAAGAGTAGAGTCAGTGGTTGAGACCTTGATGAAAAAATCTGAATGAGTTGGCGCTAATGCGATATCGCGGCGTTACTTTATTGAAGTTTTGGTACGATGTACGATATAGTCGTATGGGTACTTAGAATCAAAAAGCGAAAGGGTGTTGGAGATGGAGACAACTGAAGTTGATCCACGGCCGCTTCGGTTCAAAAGTGCATGGAGTTGGAGAGAAGACCGTAGAAGGCAGGAATGGCCGAGAAAAGCAGGAATTGCCTAAGATGAGTGGGAGAGGCTTCCCACCCCGTATCGCAGGCGGCAGGTGCAGCAACGGGGATTCGGAAGCAAGGGCAGGAAGTCCACCTGGGCAGGCAGGACCGCAGTGCGGCAGGGCCAGGGGTAGGTCTCCGTAGTACCGTACCGCACCTCCCCTGACAACCTGAACATCAACTTGTTGCTCTTGCGAATCGATAGGGAGGGGAAGGAGAGAATGGGCAAGGTGGGTCCAAGATGCGGCATGCCTGCCCTCTAGCTGCACCTCATACAGAAACGGCAGCGAAACAGCATTTGGTGCTGCAGGAGCATCATTGGGTGGAGGGAAGGAGGGAGACAAGACTTGGCAGACATCTGAAGTCACCTCCAGAGGCTCCAGGCGCAGACGACCGTCTCAACCACCTCAAGGCTCAAGCCCCCAACCTCGAGTCGCGGCTCGCCATGATTGATGCTATTGTCGCAATTGCAACAGCAACCTCAAGGGTAATCATACACCGCCATACTCCGTGCCAAATCGAACCTCTCACTATCTTTGCCAATACATGCGCAATCCACATCATTCTGGCCGTTGTCGGACTTGGCCATGCAGAGTCACGTTGGGTGCGGCATCGATCAATCGTCGTTGCTTAACCGTCGTCATGCCTGCGAGTCTGCGACCTGGAGGAGGGGACGGGACCCTGAAGGAAGCAACGATGGTAGCTTATCCAATTGCTCCGAGTCTCCTCCCTCCTGCAGCCGATGACTGTGCCAATGTGCTAACGATGGCCTTGCAAGCGGAGACCTGGGGAGCAAGGAGTCACGATGCCCACAACTACGTACAATTGAGGCCCGTCATTATCATCATGGTGGTGCTAGCTTGCCTTATGTAAGGAGTCTAACGAGCCATGGGTGCTTGGCAGAGGTACTGTGTATCGATACTCTCTCTGCAGATTGTTCCCTCGTGTGGCGGCCAGCGGCGTCATAGAGACGAGGGGCTGCAGCACCAATTGATTCTGCTGCTGCGAGCCAAGACGTGACATGGCAAGCGTCCAAGGCATCGCGTCTCGGAGCGAGCCCAGGTGAGTATTCTCTCTGCCGGTATGCGGCCAGCCGTAGCTCGGTGTCGGCGCAAAGATTGGGAGAGGGAAAAGAGAATGGGCAACAAGACAGTCGACAATTGAAGAACAAAACACAGTAGGTGCTGTCGAGTTCTGATGTTGCGGAAAAGAACCTTCCCATTCCGCGCCTCCCCTTCGTGATACCTTAAGGTACGTTGCCGATACCGGTACCTAGGTATCTACCAGAAGCAGGGCCGCGGCCATTTTCTGTGAGGTATGTTCCTTCCCAACCCAGAATCCTGGGCAACACATTCATCAACGCATCCAACCATACCGACGTAGAAAGGGTCCATACTTCGTGTGTATACATACGCAGTACACCACGCCTTCCCAGCCATGCATGTGCAATCCATCCACTCGGATGTGCGAATGAGGGCGAGTGCAGTCAAGATTGGGTCTGGACTGGCGAGAAAAGCCTGCAATTGACCCGATACGCTGCACAGCACTTCCCTCCTGCCTTCAGCGACTGTACAGTACCATGGAATCTCTGTATTCGTGTACGGATACTTACTTTCATTGGCTACAAACCTACCTACCTTCCTTGCATGGGATGTATCCGTACCTGTTCCCGTCCCTGTTCCTGTTCCTGATTCTGTTCCCAAGCCAAGGAAGGTATCGTCACCAGCCTAGATACCAGACCTACCTGCCCTCGTGGGCCGCAACCTCTAGACCACTGATGTCCAGTCGACTTCCCACACGCCCAAACGCCGATGCCGTATCGCACCTATCGCAAGCCACCCCGGACCGTGAACAAGGACTTGGCCTGAAAGATCCATGCAACCAGACCCTTCACTGCCTCTCGCGCCCCCCATCTTCCCAGTGCTCCCCCATCTCTTCCTCCACCATCGTTCTGGCACTCCCCTCCCCTCTCAAGCCTCTCCATCTCATCATATCCCTGTCACCCTTTTTTATCAAGGCAAGCGCCCCGGTTCTGGCCAGTGTCTTCCCAATCTCCATGTATTTAGACTTTGGTCCGTCTTTGCCCAGACAACTCATCGTAGCCCAAGTACTATCGCAATTCTTCAACCGCCTTCTTCCGTCGTCTATCCTTTTCTTGTCTTCATCTTTTCAGGAACCGACCAGAAAATCTTCTGCTCTGCACATACACCCGATCGCTTGCTGAACATATCTGTCGACGCTGGTCCATCCTCTTGCACTTGGACAAATTGACCGACCGAGTAACTGTCATTGCGTCATCCCAACCCGCCCAACTGGGCTCTTATCTCTGCCACCACACCCAACGTCCCAGTCCCAAGCTGGAAATCGACTAAATACGAGAATCCGCGCCGTCGCTTCCCTACACCAACCGAGCGCACCGCACCCTCCCGATCACCTCCTCTCACGCAATTGGCGACGACCCCTTCGCAGGAGATTTCAAGGATATGAAATACGGCGAACAGCTCGAGCAGGAATCCGTTCCAGAATGGAGTTTACGTGGGTTGCCCCGTTCCATTCAGTTCATGCAGGACCCAATTGGCACGTGAAGGCGATTCCAGCTGACCGGTAACTTTCGCCAACAGATAACGTCGACTACAACTCGCTCAAGCACGAGATCAAGGTTCATACGAGCCGCGACCAGGCGACCGCAATCGCCATTCCCGGTCACCAAGATGCTGCTCTCAAGCGTTTCGAAGATAACCTCTACCACGAGCTTTGCCAACAGCACGACCGGGTTGATCTTTTTGTTTCCAGCAAGGCGGACGAGCTTTCGCGTCGACTGCGTAAGTCCATGATCGATCGAAGAGTCTGTTGTGTACGGGACCCAATTGGCTGACGCAAGATCCAGAATACATCGCCGATCAGCTTCAAAAGTTGATTGTCAAGTGTGCCGAGGAGGGTGACCGTATTTCGATCAAGCGGCATCGACGGTTCGCCAAGTACGAAAGGGATCTGCTTCGTTGCGGAGAAGAAACACTTGCGCTCGCTCGTTTCATCAACGCCCAGATTACGGCTTTCCGGAAGATTACGAAAAAGTACAAGGTGGGTGTTGCACACTCTATCCGCAATTGTGCCGTTGCTGATTTGCTTCTTCAAGAAATGGACAGGATCTTCCACACTCGGCGCACGCTTTCGCGAAAACGTACTCGCTAACCCCAAGAGCTTTACCCGTCGCGACCTGAATAACCTCCAAACACGTTACGAGGAGTTGCTCAACACTCTCCGCACCTCCACGCCTCAGTTGAGCGAGCCCAGCTCGCCCTCCTCCGATGAACAGACACCCACGAGGCGAGGATCTACCGCAGAGAGTTTCTTCACGCCTTTGCCACCAGCAGAGCGAATTCCTCGGAGGCCCATCCAGCAGCAACAGCAACAGCACTACTGGAATGAGTATGACGATGGCAGCGAGAATGGTGGACAGGAGGAGGAATACGCCATTTATATCAACCCTGACGCAGACATGAGCTTTCCCGGCCTGGACTCGATGCGCGCGATTCTTGCCGCGCCCTTCCGCCACGCAAAGACGTGGTTTTCAAGGCGGCAGAACCCTGAGGGGCAGCGATTGTTGGCCAGCGAGCCCTTCCTCCAAAGCTACGGCGGCATTTCACCACTTGGCACGGATACCGACGACGAGTACGCGAGCTCTGATGGTATGCCTACGAACGGATATGCCACGCATTATGCTACGCTACCCAGCATTAACGAGCAGCAAGTGCGGCGGTACCGCGAGCGCGTTTTGTTCTGGGCCACCATTGGCTGTTTCGGCGTATCTTTCCTACTACTCCTTGTGGCTGGTATCCTCATTTCAACGGGCCGCCACAAGCTACGCGCAGAGGTCGACGCTGGCGTGACAGTTGGCGTCGTGGCCAGTCTCTTCAGCGCCTGCCTCGCCTTGGGTATGTCGCTTTATCGGCACGATGATTTGGGCATCTGGCAACGTGTGGCCGTGTATAGCAGCTTTTTCACAGCCTGCATGCTCAACGGTATGCTACTCATCCTTGTTGTGGGGAATGCAGCATAGCGTCCCCTATCTTTTCTTACTGTTTTGTTTACTTAGGCTGGGTTGTCATGACCCATGTTTGAGTCCTTTCCTTTGTCCATTGATTACATGCATCGGCGACTGGGAGAAATAGTGGAGGGGTAACTTGAATTTTGTGGGACTTGTTTTTATGTCTCTGAAGCGAGGTGAGGAATTTTGACAACCTTGAGGAAAATTCCCAGGAGCGTTTGTTTTTTTCTTAAAATCAGAATACCGGCCGCATCACTGCACTGCCCGCCTGTGTGTTTTTCCGCCCCCAGATACCATAAGCACATCAATACCTATTAGAATTGGGCAAAAATAATGGCTTACCTCATCTCGGCGCCTGTTGACGATTTGGCAATCGTCCAAATTCCGGTGAGAAATGACTGGGGATCCATAGTGCCGTGCCCGACCGATATTGATATTGCAGGGATGGAATTTTCTCATGATTCAGATGAATGCCATCTTTTCTTCTTCCCTCTCTAGTCCATGATGATGGGTGGTGATGTGTAGTGTCCCACAAAGATCTCTGTTGTTTCATTTCCCCCGGAGTAGTGGCGGCGTCAAGGTGGCGGTCCGTTAACATGTGCCTCTTGGCCGGTTCCGGCATAAACCAGTGAGTTCCAGAAATAAACTGAACAGAGACAAGCCAAAGGGCCAAGAGCATGCCTTTGCTCGTTGGCCCCACCGCGAGCCTGAATGCGAGACAGACGGGGGGATAAGAGCTTGGGCAGAGAGAGTAACACAGCAGGTGAGTGACCCTGCGCGTTGCACTCGGCTGAGGGCTGCTGGAACAAAAGTCTCCCAGACTGGAGATGCCGATGCCGCTTGGACGGGCAACATGTCGAAAATCCCACCCAGCCAGCTTCTCCTCATCCCAACTGCGGCCCATCTTGATGGGCAAGTTGACCCGAATGTCGCAAAAGCGCGGAAAAGGCACGTGCAAGGAATTTGCGGGGCTTGCTTTTGCTTTCCAGCATAAGAGCTACGTGGGCAACTAATGACACGATGAGAACGTTGCGCGCAGCCATGGATGGAGTCGAAAATCCGGGTTGGACCGCGTCGTCGATTAACGGCATGGGCCGTTTTTGGCGCAAAGAGGGGCTGCCTCATTATCCTCCAGAGGCAGTCTAGGCACTGGTCGTAAGATAAAGAGCTATGCGACGATACATCTCGCGCAGAATTAACATGCAGCAACTCCAAACTTAGCCTCTCTGCGTCGTCGTGGAGAGTTCGATTTACGAAAACCCGCCCAGATCCGGAGTGCAGAGTCTAGCCCCATTACGAGCAAGTGCTTGGAAAGCTTGACGGCGCCAGCTTCTGCCCTTTAACATCTGCAAAGTCCCTTGTTTTTCGCCTTTCAATTCTGAGAATCTCCCAAAAGTATTTAACGGTTGACCAGCAGAATTTCTTTTGGTGAACCCCAGCAAGTTGGTGATTGGCGAAGTGCCATGACCTAATTGCAAACAGCCCGCAATCCTTGATAGTTGAGCGTACCGTCCTCAATCCTTTGGACATTCGTACAAGAATGAGGCTGTCTGTTGCAGGAAATCGCTCAACGCTGTGCCTCCAACGGCTATGGAGTTCTCCTGGTATTGATTTTCCAAGCAATGCAGCCACAGCCTTGCGAAACTCGTCGGGCATTCCTCAGCGCACAGGCGGCTCCCCTTTCCCCGCTATGCAGTCAACGCTGCTGCAGCTTTTGCCGGTGTTTGACGGAGAGCAGTGACTTGAGACTCGAGTCTCGCAAAAACTTGCTGCAGACTGAAGCAAGAATAGGGTTCATCGCAAGCCTCATCCGTGAGCTCTGGACCGGTCGCATGGAGGATGACGAAGTGTTGTCATGCGATGGTGCGTGTGACCAACACAGATCGCCCGGGGGCTGGCGAAGGCTGCGGATCTTCCTCAGTCCATACTGCCATTTTTTGCAGAGAGCTCACGGTAACACGGCTGACGCTGCCGCCAGACGTGGATGTATAATTTGATGTTTCAACATACACATATGAATAGTAAAATATGCCGGTGACATCTCGGAGCAGTGCGATGTGTCATCTCCACCGCCGGAGGCTCTGTTCGGGCGGAGTCGAAATTTGGTGTCTTCCGAGGGGCCGAGCTTCAACTCATTCTGGAGCCGAATAATGTCCGCAAGTCATATTTCCGAGGGTACATCTAGACAAGTTAGTCTTCAAAGCTCTCAGCATGCTTGAACCTATGACGGATTGCTCACTTTTTGCACATTTTGACGCCGGTGCTCCTCGCTTCGTGGACACGGTCGAACTCTTCCAAAAGCCATCCTGTGACAAAGAGTTAGCAAATTGTTCTCTCTTCACGCCGTCAGAGATCATACGAGAACAGGCCCATCTTTTAGCTGTGCTCTCAACGTTCTGTCTAACTTCCGCCATGAGGGAGTCTGCGCCTTCTATGAGAGAGTCGTAGTGAAACAGAAGTTGCATCGTATGAAAGAGAGCGTATGGCCAAACCGCAGCGCAGTGTTCCAAGACGTCATCGCGGTTGGAATAGGCGTTGAAGATGCCATTTGAGCCATCAAGCACGAGACCAATCGTGAATTTGATACCGGCAACTGCCTTCTTCATTTCCATATCTGTCTCTGGATCACGGGCAGGCATCCCTGGTCTATTGGCAGTATACAGGAAAGAGTAGAAAAGGAGGCAGAACAAGCTGTGGCAGTCTTAGCATATTTCCAACCGCATCGGCGACTAGCAACGTACCTAGCACAAAGAGCATAAGTGTTGAGGTTCTCACTCCAAGTCTCGGATCGGGTGATAAGAGCCTCAATCAGATCTCTCGTGGCGGACTCAAGCTGAACAAACGAGTAGACAGTCGGAGGTTCTTCGATCTCAGCATTTGCCGCCTCCCAATTAACGGCGTAACCGAGAAGAATGGCGGCCTGGCAAGACCTCTGAAAAGCGCCGACGCGCACCGATGCTGGGATTGTGGTAGGGTACCGCTTGATCATCTTAACAGGCCCGTTTCTGTCATTGTCCCAAAGGATGTGCTCCGTTGGGAGAAGGTCGTCATCGGAGGGCATGTCCATCTGGAGCGGTGTCCAAAGTGTTGCGGATTGCTCATGGGAGATTCTAGTCAAGTAAGCAAAGACACTGGTGAAAGACACCAAAACGCTCTTACTTGTCCATAATCACAAGAACCCACCACAGAGCTCGATTTTGCTCTTCTTCGGGCTCAGCAGCTAGGTCCTCTTCTTCTTCCACATATTTACCCGGTCTCAGATTCAACACCTTGCCGATGGAGGCCGCCTCGCCGAACGTACGATAGCAACGAGTGATGTCGCCGTGCCCCAACTCGTACAACGATAACAGAACACCACACTGAACGTGCTCGATCTTAGGTTTCGAAAAGGCTTTCCTCAATGTCCATATACGCTTGGCCGACTGGTAGAGCGGATGATGAAGCATAGCGGTGGACGAGAACTCGTCGCAGTTCCAGATAGTTAAGAGATGGATGCACAATACAACCAACGCCAAATCAGAATCGTTGGGGTTGCTGTCAAGCTGAGCCGCGGCACAACGTATTTGCCAGACCTCCGGGTGGATCACGAGGAGCCAGGTGTTGACGGTGTTGAAATAGGTGTTGATGGAAGCTTTCCAGTCGATTCCGTTACCGTTCAGAAGCTGCATTATCTGACCAGCAGTGAAATCAACCTGGTTGAGCCAGTCAAAGGCAGGCCGCGCGTCGCCATTGGAAGAAGAAGAGGCATTGCCAGCGGCGCCTTGCGAATCAACAATGGTCAGGGATGGCGGGTTGACGACAAAGTCGTAGCAGCAGTTGGTGGTGAGTCTGAAAGGTTAGTCAGAATACCTCGGTGTTGACAATTTTGGCAGGGGCAACCTCTCTTTTCTTGGAGGAAGAAAAAAAAACTACTCACCTGGTGCATCTAGAGCAAGCGGGCAGACCTTTGTCGCACTTCTTCTTGGTTCGGGTGCATTTTTCGCAAGCGCGGTGGGCGCGGGGCGGGGCGTCTGCGGCAGACTGGTGACTTGAAGACGACGACAACCGATTTGTGTAACGCGAAGTTGAGTTGACGTTGTCAGAATCCTCGGACGGCGGCGTCACGGCAAGGCGTTGGACCTGTCTCGCCATATTATCTATCGTGCGTCTTGGTAGTCGCTACCTCACGGATGTTATATTTCCAAAGAAACAGCGCAGCTTCAGGCAATGAAGCGCGGGTGCCGCCAACGGGCAAAACGACGCGAAGAGATAAATTGACGCAAGAGATGGTGGAAGCAGAGTTTCGTTGGTGCGAGCCTGGGAGGGTCAAAGGAAAAACGAATTTGGATGTGTCCCACCACGAATTCGATTCTGCGGAAGGTTGTCGGCAGGGACAGCACAGCAGTGAAGTGGACTATCCGCGAGGTGATTAAGCACAGCCGATCAATGCATGCAGGACCGGCAGCGGCAACAGCGAGCGACGGCAGCGGTAGCAAATGCAACGGCAGAGGCAAGCCTAAGGTAGCTTAGACAGACGAGGTCTTGGGGATGTTTGGATTTGTTGGATTGGAGCTGGGCTGAGGATTATTAAGGTGAGGTAGGCGCAACCACAAGCTACGGATACCTACCGCAAAGGAAGTGTACGGAGTACTTCCATTGCGTACCTGTACGGGAAAACACTAGTGTTGAATTGCTAGCCGTTCTCTCAACTGCGATGCTCCCTACTAGTGCCGCATGCTCCACAGGTCCAGACTCTCCGCGAGTGGCCTCTTGTAGCCAAGAAGGGACTCAAATGGAGGGGGGCAATGGGGGGGAACAAGTCAACCCAAGCGGATCCTTCCTCGATACAGTCTTAATCCCGGCCCCGCTTACCACTCGACGGCCGCTGAAGATGGGCACACATCTTCAACCATGTTCAATGCTCAATGCTCAATGCTGTCGAGGTTGTTGCCGCCCATGTCACTCGTCTCTTTGTTCAATCCATGAAGGCACATGTGTAACACGAGAACGGCGAACGGGAGACAACTTGGCAG